ATTAAACTGATACTTTACAAAAATATAACAATCTTAGATTATGTTCAACTTTTTTGTAACAAACGATTTTTTATGAATTGTCCTGTAGATCTTTAATAAATAAATAAGGAGATTTAAAATGAAAATTATAATTTTAGAAGGGGGAAGATATTGTAGTGGGTAAAAAAATAAACTAAAAAGCCTAAGAAATAATAAATAAAACTAATAGTAAAAATAACTAGACTGTAAACCCAGGACTAACAACGGTGGCGATCTCTCTTATCAAGCAAGTTAGTCTCAACTGACAGCAAACATGATCTTCCCCACGGTTTAGTCCTCCCTCTTCATTTATGATATAGCATACTCTGCATGTTCAGAAGAAATCATAAAATTCCGACCATGCTGGAGTGCTCCTTATAGTTCTACGGGGGACCTTCAATAGTTCTTACTAATTCTTATTTCTCCTTTAAATAACTATCAAATTACTTTATCATTTTTATTTTTCCATACTTTAATACAAGTTACAATTTAAACTGGTTAATGTTTTTTAATAAATAAAATTTAAGATACTTTAAAGGTAGACAATTTTGAAAGGTCTGTATTCAAGCTATATCAATATAAAACCGTTTCAATGAGGATAACCTGGATGGTAATCAATATCACTTGATTTTGCATTGATATAAAAAGTTGCTGTCACATCTGGCCCATATACAAACCTTAAATACTAAATATCAGTTTCGTATTACTTTTCGTTTATGAGCTATACTGTTAAAACACTCACAGACCATTTTGCGACACTTGGTTATTTGGACTCAAAACATGTATTTCCATTGAAAACTGAGATTCTAAAATTTTGATCGCAATACTTACCCTTACTATTTATTACATATATACGTAAGTGAAAGTAAAAATGGACTTATATAAATATATATATATATATATATATATATATATATTCGGTTTATTGTAAAGTGTGATTACTATTACAATTAGTAAGTGACAGTTGAGAACATTAAATCACTAAGAACTTTGATGAATTTTTCCTTAGTAAAATCTGAAAATTGGGCATTTATATAACTATATTTGATATATAAAAGGGTTTGAGTCACTCACTTAAGTGCAATTACTTAAGAGCGAAGTTTGAGAAAATCATGAAAATTCTGTGAAACATGTATAATTCTTTTATACTTCTTAACTATTGCACATACATATCACTGATGATCAGTTAATAATGGCAAAAAAGTTCCCATCACCACAAAAAGACACTCACATACAGACCATTTTGTGAAATTCAGAAGAAAACTCAGATTCAAAATTCTTCACGTTCGCAACACTTTCTCTTACTATATATTTCATATAGAGGTAAAACTCTTTGCGTTAAGCCAGAAAACATTGCTATTCCACAGACACCATGTAGCATAGCCACTTGTCAAATGAATCAATTGATATATATCTCCAAGCCCTAAAGCATTAGGTACAGAATGTGAATTTGTTGCCGCTGTTGCTGTTTAAGAGATATCATTTTCGTGTAAATTCCTTTCATCAAAGAGCGAGAGAGAATGTGGAAAAATCAAACATTTTTAAAGAGTTTGTAATTTGAAATCCTGACCAAAGATTTCTCAGTTGAGTTCAGATTCATCAGCCTTGGAAGGTTGCATGTAGTCAGGATGGAGTACTCAAAGATACCGAAAAAGATTCTAGCAGAGATGCTGCGTGAAGCAAGATGACAAGGATAGCTAAGGCTAAGAAAGTAGAATAGTGTGATGCAAATGATGCAAAATCTGTTCTAGGAACTCAGAACTTGAAGATGAAAGGACCAAGATATTTGTCCTAGTCTGATCAAGAAGTAACGACTCGCTCCTCCTTTTATCTTTCTGATTCTATTAAAAACAAAATTGAATGAAAGGCACAAGGATTGGATGGCATACCGAATGTGGTATTAAAGGCACCAATGGATATAAGATCAGATTTCTTCCTGGATCTTTTCAGCTGCTGCTTGTGTGAGGGATACTTCTCTCATATTTGGAAAAGGCAGCGACTAGTACTGATCCCAAAGAGCAATAGAAAAACATCAGATCCTTCAGTTCATTGACTAATTTGCCTGTTAGATGGTCTTAAGGTTTTTGATAATAAATCATTCCATAGAATATTCATACCAAAGAAGGATGAATCAATTAAAGAATCGAGACAGCTACATAACACCAAATTACATGAATTGAATCCGATCACGGGCGGATCTACGGGGGGGAGGCTTTCAGGCTGAAGCCCTCCCCATCCCAAAATCGAAAAATATAACCATGTTTTATGGGAAAATTTTTTTTAAAAATACCTCTTAAAGTATTATTGTTCGTGTAATTACATTTAAAAGTACTTAAGGAATAACTTAAACACCATTTCATATAGGTAGTTAGTTTCTTTCTTTTTTTCCAAAGTAATTATCGTTATTTTTATGAAAAAAAAAGGTTTCGGGCTGAAGCCCCCCCAAAATTGAATCCTGGATCCGCTAGTGAATCCGATTAATTTAATTGAGTTGATTACATTTCAACAAATAAAATGGGTATATAATATTCTTGGGTTTAGTAACAAAAGAATCTCTAAAATGTTAATATGTGCTATGCTTGAGGGTTTGTTAGCATATGAAAAGAGATTTATAGACAGCGCTAAGCCTTTTATTATTAAATTATAATAAAATAATGTGCTTAAAACCAAATCCTCGTTTATTTAATAGCCACTAATCCGTTCATGTCAAATGAACGCTTCATAAAAAATAAATCATATCAAGATTTATTCAAATACATGTAATGTAAATACTATATATAAATATATAGTTTATTAAAATTGTGCCTACAGACGCAGATGAGTGCAGCTGGAATTTGATATAGTAAATGACATAAGGAGCTTTGTCATAATAACAAAAGTTTGTAGATCTGTGATCGACTACATTCAAAATATACAGACTAAAATAATATTTTTTATTCAATTTATTTCTATTTGATTCAGGACATTATAATTGACTTAAAAATCATAATTATTTTTCTTTCTTTCACATGATACATAGGGTGGCATAGCTTTTATGATTATAAACAAAAAATCATTATTTTATGGTCGGATTTGAAATGCTAGTAACAAAATTTCTTGTTTTATAAAACATAAAAAGCTAGTGGAAATATTCGATTCTGAATACATATATTAAATTCCTGTATGTATGCAACCCCATTAATTATATTTATAATTTATAATTAATTATAATTACACTAAATAGGTAAAAATACTAAAATTTTCGGTAGTGAGGAACCATAAAAGTAACTGTTATGACCATTACTCATGGTCAGATTTAAAACACCCATAACAAGAGTGAAAATTCAAATATTTCCAGTTCCTTAATGTATAAAATGTAAAAGATGTAGACTTTTTGATTCTGAATAGAAAATTTTATTTTTCCTAACTTTGGTGAACAGGAATCAAAACATAAAATTATTAACAATGAAAACATCCTCTTAAGTTTATGTATTCTTCTTCTTCTTCAATCGCCTCAACGAGCCATTACTAACTCCTGGCCTCCTCAAGCAGCTTCTGCCAGTTTATTCAATTCAGTGCAGCTGCTCTCCAATTCCGTACTCTGAATCCTCTTGAACACCATCCAACCATCGAAGCTTTGGGCGGTCTCTAGGCCGTGCTCCATGTAGGCGCTCATTAATTAGTTTATTTGGGATCTCATCTGTCCCCCATCTACATCTACATCTAGCTAAATGGCCTGCCCAGCGCAGCCTGCCAATTCTTACAATTTTCCCAACATCAGGCTCACCAATCAACAAATTCAATTCCCTATTTGTCCCTTTTCTCCAAGCTGAACCATCCTTTACTGGACCATAGATGCGTTTGGAGATCCCTTTCATTGAACTTCGAAAATGCCCAGGTTTCTGAGACATACGTTAGTACTGGATGAATCAGCATCTTATATAATCTTATTTTTGTAGTTCTTGATAATAAGCTACTTCCTAAGTGCCGGCACAGTCCAAAATAACACCTATTGGTCGATGCTGTTTGCCTTCTTATCTCTGCAGAAACGTCATCTGTGGTATTGTCATGAGATCCAAGGTCACAAACTCCTCAACCCATTCAAAAGAGTAGCTACCAATTTGGACAAAGCTTTCGTTAATAACTCTTCATTGACTAGTGGTTATATACTTGGTTTTGTTAGTATTAACAGTAAGTCCTAGCTTCCTGGCAGCATTGTCAAGGGCAAGGATCTATAGCTTTTGATCTCCCAACAATGACGATATCATCAGCACATTCCAGGATTTATACCGTTTGATTAAGGATAGTTCCACTGGTTTGAACCTTTGATTCTCTGACAGCTTTTTCCATACCATTATTGAAGAGCAGACAGGCTAGAGAATCTCCCTGTCGAACGCCATTATGAGAGTAGAATCCCTCAGACAAATCTCCCTGAATTTGCACCATACACTCGGTATTGCTCATTGTAAGTTTTACAAGCCGTATGAGCTTAACCGGTTCATTGAGGTCTTTCATTGCCTGATATAGGGTATCACGTTGAATGCTGTCATAAGCAGACCTAAAATCAACAAATAGATGGTGACTCTATATCTGGTATTCCCTTCTGCGCTCAAGGATGGTTTGTAGGGCAAAAATCTGATCTGTTGTAGACTTACATTACGAAAGCCGCACTGATATTTTCCCAGAACTCTCTCAACATGCGGTAGTAATCATTGATACATTATATTTGAAAATATCTTGTAGATGCATCGGAGTAGAGATTCGTGCCGATAATTATTGCATTCAACAACATAAGTTTAGTTATATTTCATATTATTCCTTCTTTATAATTATATCAGTTTTAAAGTGAACTTTTTTTAAAATTCATCCATTGTTGATAATTTTAACAATGATTTTACCATAGTTATTTAATAAAAATCATACTAACATTGTCTTTGATTAATGAAGATGAAAAAAATAATTTGTCTAACTATTGCAATAGCTGGTGCAGGTGCTATGTGGTACTTTTACCACAAAAAAAAGGAGCTGCACAAAACTGAAGAAGGAGAAGAAGAAGAGGTAACTTAAACCCCTCTCAAACTCTCTCTCTCTCTCTCTCTCTCTCTCTCTCTCTCTCTCTCTCTCTCCTCTCTCTCTCTCTCTCTCTCTCTCTCTCTCTCTCTCTCTCTCTCTCTCTCTCTCTCTCTCTCTCTCTCTCTCTCTCTCTCTCTCTCTCCTCTCTCTCTCTCTCTCTCTCTCTCTCTCCTCTCTCTCTCTCTCTCTCTCTCTCTCTCTCTCTCTCTCTCTCTCTCTCTCTCTCTCTCTCTCTCTCTCTCCTCTCTCTCTCTCTCTCTCTTTTTTTTTTTTTTTTTTTTCCTTCTTTCCCCCCGCTGTACCTTAGGGCAACCCTATACCAGCGGTACATCCAATTTTCTAACTGAAAAATATGCCACGAATTTAAAGGGCTCGGTCACCAGGATTGGTAACCAAGCGGGCAGGTCTGCTCTCACTTTGATCCAAATTCTTGGGTCAAAGTGAGGCAAAATTCGGTCTTTTAGTTTGATTGGGGCATTAATTATCACGGGTAAACCTACACTAATGGGTTGCCTGCAACTGGAGGGCTGTTCCCACCAAACAGGACTCCAGTAACTTCCTACCTACTTATTGTGGGCCTATTATTAAGTTTATATATACTATTTCTAAATCTTATGATAAAAATAAATTTATGTATTTGGTATATCACCGGTTTAATCTTTCCTCTCTTGCTATTTTTTCATGGAATATCCTCCTGGCGTATTTCTTAAAGGCATCAAATATCTCAGGTGTCTCCACAAGCTTGTCCAGGGACCGAGGAGGCCATTCCAACATGGAGTACTCTCCTGCCAATGCTTGTCGGGCGCCAGTGTACATTGGACATTCCAAAATTATGTGTCTAGCGTCCTCAACAGCCCCGCAGTGACAATTCGGACTGGCTCTTCTATGAAAAAAATGTAATTTTTCATTTATATCTCCATGGCCTGTGAGGAGTTGAACAGTCCAGAAATCCGTCTCCACCCAGTCATTCTTGATTCTTCTCCTGACATCTGGGAAGAATTCATGGGTCAGTCTTCCAGTCTCGCATGCATCCCACCTTCTCTGCCATTCAGAAAGGACTAGTTCTTCTATTCTGTCGGCTACCTCGTCGTACCTTCCACTAGGGCACACAAAACAGCTTGTTCCCACATTTGCTGGCACTCCTCTCTTTATTCTATATTTGGCTATAGATATTTGTATTTTCAGGTCTATAGGCAGTTGTCCTGTAATCACTTGCAAAGCCGAAGTGGGTGCCGTTCTATACGCTCCTGTCACCAGTAGGAGAGATCTTCTTTGAGCTTGCTCCAGCAATCTGATGTCTGACTGTCTCAGTTTCTGGCCCCAGACCGGCGCCGCATATAATGCAATAGGCAAGAAAGAAGCCTTATATAGCGTTTCCCGATAACTATATTTGAGACCCCAGGTGGTTCCTGCCATCGTTTTAAGGCAACTGTAACGGACAATAGTTTTGCTCTTAATTTCTTTTAGGTGGTTAGTGAAGTTACACCTCTCGCCCAATAGGACTCCTAAGAACTTCACTTCCTGAGATGGTTTTATTAGGACATCTCCTAACTTTACTCTGGGGAGAAACCCTACCATTTTTCCCTTCAAAAACAGGAGTCGAGTCTTCTGAACATTTAAAGAGAGTTTATTATCTCGGCACCATTGCAAGACTATGTCAGTGACTTCCGCTGCCCTTATTTCCAAATCATTTCGGGATTTTGCCTCTATTCCAACAGCAAAGTCGTCCACGTAAGCAGATGGCGTATACCCGGCAGCTCTCAATTTAACAAGGAGAGGGTTCATGTTGATATTCCATAGGGGGAGTCCCAAAACTGATCCCTGAGCACAACCCCTCTGGACTGGCCTCGTTATTCTCCTTCCCGGAAGTCGATAGAAGACAGAGCGCTTCGATAAAAATGATAATATGAGCCTGTATATATTTCTGGGGCATTTCAGTTTCTTTAGCTCGTCCATAATAGCAGGCCACCACATATTATCGAACGCGCCAGCAACATCATAGAAGAGGACTACAAAATATTTAGAGGGCGAGTCCTTAGCTGTTGATATGAGCTGGTTGATGGCATCCGTTGTTGACTGTCCTTTTCGACCTCCGAATTGATCAGGAGAGAGCAAGTCGATTACGTCTTTTAGGCGTTGCAGCATTAGGCTTTCTAAAACTTTCCCCATTACATTTAGGAGGCATATTGGGCGGTAAGATTTAGCAGTGATTTCTGTTATACCGGGCTTCAAGATAGTAACCAGCTCAGCCTGTTTCCAGATACAGGGGAAAATGCCTTTATTCAAGCATCTGTTGTAGAACGTAGTTAAAGGCTTAATCAGTGCGTTTTTTGTATTTCTAAGGATATCGGCTCCTATCATATCCGGTCCTGGTGCCTTTCCCGATCGGAGTTGTCCCATAGCCAACCCCACATCTTCCTCTTCCCATGGAAGCGCATCGTCGGTTTGCGGAAGTTCACACATTGTAATTCTTTTGTGAGCATGGTTTTCTGTGTCTGAAGTTAGTTCGTCTTCAGGGAAAGATCTCACCATTATAGCATTAACAACCTCATCTGCCGTTCTGGTTGAATCTCCATTGTGCATAAACGATGTGAAGGAGTTTCTATTTGAGATTTTATCAAGGGCTCTCCGATAGGCTAGTCCCCAAGGGCTTTTGCATTGGTCTAGGTATCGGTGCCATGTCTCTTTCTTTGCTTTTCCTATTGCCTTTTGGAAACTCTTATTAAGTTCGTAATATGCTTTTTTGACATTTCTTTTGGTAACGGCATCGTTTTCTCGCTGAAATCGGCGTCTTGCTCTGTAGGTCTCCCGCTTCAGGCTTGTGAGTTGTGTGTTCCACCATACTTGTCCATTTCTTATTGACTCTCGTGTTATGGGCAACACCTCCTTAACCGCTGTGAAAATTTCTGTTGAAATTTTCGCTGCCTCTTTTTCTAATTCCATATGATGGTGTTGCTCCAGCTCTGTTAGGTGCCATGCAATATTTTCAGCAACACGCTCCCACTCAGCTCCCTCCGTCACAAAACGTTCCTTATGGTATCGCTTTTCTCGATTGTTTAGGTTTATTTCAAATAAAACCACCCGGTGATCACTGCAGGTCCAATCCTCGACTTTCCAAAAGCTAATAAGCTGGCCAATGCCAGGTGATGCCAGAGTTATATCGATAAATGATTCTCCGCTGGATCCCGAAAACGTTGGCAAGGCCGTTGGATCATTTACAATGGTTAGGCCATTCCTTGCAGCAAAATCCTCCAGCAGTACGCCTTTTCTATCGGTTCTTCGGCTGCCCCACAAAATTGAGTGAGCATTAAAATCGCCCATTATTAAGATGTTCTTACTCAGCTTCCGTACTACCAGCTGCAATTTTGTCAGTATGTCTTCCAGTGGGAGTGCGAATTTTGCATAAACATTGATCAAGTCAAAGTTAATGCCTACGTAATCTACATTGGCAACTGAAATAAATCTATCTTCCAGATCAGGCTGTGATGTAATTGTAAGGCAATGATTAAACACTACCACTGCACTCTGTGGTGCATCGTGTAACCCACTTCCATTGCTAGCAATGGTGCGGTCTTGCGGTTCAGTTCCAGACACCTTCCCTCTCTTAGTAGGAGGTTCCTGAAGAGCACCAATATCTATGTTATTTAGTGAGGCCATGCGTCTAAATTCTGACATTGCGAGCGGTCTCTTGTTTAGATTGTGTTGGGCTATCCGGAGGGCAGAATTATTATTCATTGTCGTTATATTTTGTCCTCATTACTAACCTTTCAATTGCTCTTTTGTATGATGGACAGTCTTTGTCGTTTGTCGGATGGTTAGATGCTGAGTTGGTTTTACTGCAGTTTATGCATTTCGGCGGTCCGCCGGTCTTTTGTTTTGGGCAGTCTCCTGAAACATGTCCTCTTTCGCTACAGTAGCCGCAGTTTACGACAGTTGCGGGGCAGAATTTTTCTATATGTGAAAAACCCTGGCATTTATTGCATCGTGTCACTGCCACCCAGTCTCTCACATTGCAGGATGACCAATCCAGGAAAACTCTTCCCTCTGCCAATATTTCATTTCTCACCGCCGGGGACACTTCCGCCACCCAATGAACTGTATCTCTTCCTCTTGGACCTGTCTTGAAGACAAGGCTGAAGTGCTGCTTATTAGGATCTAATTTTTTTGCATTTATGGTCCAGAACAGTTCGACAATCTTTTCTTGCTCCAGGTCACTTGGGACATCATATATAATTATTCTTGGAAGCCGTTTATTCTCCAAGTTTACTTTAGCGCCGAGTTCTTTTATTCTCTCCGACTGAGCGAGCCTCGTAGCTTCTTCTTTTGTTTGAGTCCTAATTATTACACCCCTTGTTGTTTCTACTAGTCCTCTAATTTTGATTCCTTCTTTAGCAGGCGTGAAACTTTTCTTTATCCCCTGTTTCAATTCCTGTACAGTGGGATATTTTTCCCTGCTTAGGTCTGTCTGGGCTATGTACACTGAACTCGGAGGTTCAATAGGAGTTTCCTGTCTTTTCCCAACTAATGTAGAGGCATAAGATTGTTTTTTCGTGGTATCGACCTTTTCAGTGACGAGAGGCTTAACCTCCTCATTTATTATGTCCTTCATTACCAGCTTTAATGTCTCTAGACCATGCGTTTCGAAAGTAACAGGTGTAGGGCAGAAGGCTTGATTTCTTAATACTCTTATTTCGCCGTTTAATTCTGCATTTTCAATTATGAGCTTATTACAGTTATCCTCCAGTTTACGTGCCGCCGCAAGAACCGTCTCAACTGCCGTCTTGCTTATTTGTTTTGCTTGGGCATTCAGTAAAAATTCTTGCAGCTTTAATATTATTCGGCTGTTTTCTTCATTTACGTTCTTATAACTTAAATTCTTCTCTGCGATAGCCTCATGACACGTATGTTTCCGATCAGGTGCTGTAATTGTTTGCTGCGAAGTATCGTGATAAGATTCGGTGACGTCACGGCTGCATTGGGTGTTACTATTCAAAGAACTAGGCTGACTGTGTGATGTCTCTTTGGCTCCTCCTATCTCGCTGCTCTCCCCGCCACTTGTCAGTGCTCCTTTATTTACTATTGCTCTATCGGGTGCTGGAGACACATGCAGCTTTTTACGTGATTGAAAAGGAGTTTGTTTTTCACCTTCCTCCATTTCTGTACTTCTTGCAGTAGTAATAGGGGATATGGTGCAAGGTAATCTTCAAGAGGAAATATAATAGAAGCACCAAATGAAGCAACTTGCAGTAGGTTAGGTTGAAAACTAGAGATCTTAAATATTAAAGTGATGAATAAAACTACTCAAGTGAAAATTTCAATCAATCAATTTGGATAATCGACTTTTGCTATAAGTATAATATACTTCTATCTGACTTATTGCAGTCTAAACATACATACAAAATAGTGAAAAGGTATAAAACTCTATGTCAGTGTTAGAACAAAGTATTCAATAAAATAATAATAGTTAAAATGGATTAAAAACATAGACCAAACATGAAGACAGAATGGTAAACAAGTTTAAAAATATTATCTAAAAATCTAAAACTAACAATAGTGAATAAAATAATAATAGTTATTTGATTAAAGCATATCAACCAGTCCAAACATTTAAATATACACAATTGTTAAAAAGCAGATATAAATACAATAGGTTAGGATAAAATATAATGAATATAAATACAATAGGTTAGGATAAAATATAATGAATACAAATACAATAGGTTAGGATAAAGTATTTGTCAGTATATATAGTTAATAAACATTAAATCTAAAGTGCTAATAATAAAAAAAAAAGGCTATAAGTATAATTATATAATATAGCTTAACTTATTAATCTAAATATATGTTAGTAAAGTAAAATATATTGTGGTTTTAGGTTAGTAGACTCTTAAATCTAATAATAAAATGTGTGCATATAATATATATATAGTTAATAAACATTAAAACCAAAGTGTTAAAAATAAAATGGGTTATAAGTATAATTATATAGTATAGCTGAACTTATTAATCTAAATATGTGTAAGTAAAGTCAATTATATTAAGGTTATAGGTTAGTAAACTGTTATATCTAATAATAAAATTGTGGAAATAATAATAACTAAAAACAATAAACACACTCCAATTTAGCTAAATTTCCAATATTAAATAAGTAAAGTATATTAACCAGTGAAAAAAAAGATACATTAAGGTTGTTGTAATTGCTTCTTTATCTTCTCTCTGAGAAACTAAAGTGATCTTGATTTCTATATATTTTCATATGATTTCACTAAAAAAGTGTTAAAGGAGACTTTTCTGACAGAAATTGATCAGGAAAGTTAACTAGAAATATTAAAACCATATTAAATAACACTGAGCCAACTTATAGAACACTATAACCTCCATAACCTCTCTCTCTCTCCTCTCTCTCTCTCTCTCTCTCTCTCTCTCTCTCTCTCTCTCTCTCTCTCTCTCTCTCTCTCTCTCTCTCTCTCTCTCTCTCTCCTCTCTCTCTCTCTCTCTCTCTCTCTCTCTCTCTCTCTCTCTCTCTCTCTCTCTCTCTCTCTCTCTCTCTCTCTCTCTCTCTCTCTCTCTCTCTCTCTCTCTCTCTCTCTCTCTCTCTCTCTCTCTCTCTCTCTCTCTCTCTCTCTCTCTCTCTCTCTCTCTCTCTCTCTCTCTCTCTCTCTCTCTCTCTCTTCTCTCTCTCTCTCTCTCTCTCTCTCTCTCTCTCTCTCTCTCTCTCTCTCTCTCTCTCTCTCTCTCTCTCTCTCTCTCTCTCTCTCTCTCTCTCTCTCTCTCTCTCTCTCTCTCTCTCTCTCTCTCTCTCTTCTCTCTCTCTCTCTCTCTCTCTCTCTCTCTCTCTCTCTCTCTCTCTCTCTCTCTCTCTCTCTCTCTCTCTCTCTCTCTCTCTCTCTCTCTCTCTCTCTCTCTCTCTCTCTCTCTCTCTCTCTTCTCTCTCTCTCTCTCTCTCTCTCTCTCTCTCTCTCTCTCTCTCTCTCTCTCTCTCTTCTCTCTCTCTCTCTCTCTCTCTCTCTCTCTCTCTCATTCTCTCTCTCTCTCTCTCTCTCTCTCTCTCTCTCTCTCTCTCTCTCTCTCTCTCTCTCTCTCTCTCTCTCTCTCTCTCTCTCTCTCTCTCATCTCTCTCTCTCTCTCTCTCTCTCTCTCTCTCTCTCTCTCTCTCTCTCTCTCTCTCTCTCTCTCTCTCTCTCTCTCTCTCTCTCTCTCTCTCTCTCTCTCTCTCTCTCTCTCTCTCTCTCTCTCTCTCTCTCTCTCTCTCTCTCTCTCTCTCTCTCTCTCTCTCTCTCTCTCTCTCTCTCTCTCTCTCTCTCTCTCTCTCTCTCTCTCTCTCTCTCTCTCTCTCTCTCTCTCTCTCTCTCTCTCTCTCTCTCTCTCTCTCTCTCTCTCTCTCTCTCTCTCTCTCTCTCTCTCTCTCTCTCTCTCTCTCTCTCTCTCTCTCTCTCTCTCTCTCTCTCTATGTATATATACTTATTTATATATTTATTTATATTTTTTTACAGGTTATAACTGCCCAAGGAAGCGAAGGAAACGAAATTGCAACCACAGTAAATAATGATATCCCAAAAACTAAAATTATGGTGTACAATGGCGGCAAAGTACGCCAGATGGTAAGCACAACTTTCTTAATTGCACAATATAGTAGTCTATTGTACATGTTTTGAAAATTAACCTTAATCTCTTAAATTTTAATAAATGCATTTTTAATATAATTAATTGACAGGTTTAATACATAAAGATGAAATGCTAAATAAAAATTATAATTTTTTTTTCAGGTACACAATATCGAAAAAAAGAATTAAAACATATTACTTTCCAAAGGAAGGTAAAATTCGTCTTAGATATAATTACTTTAGTTTAGAAAATAGTATCATTACTTCTAGATATTTTTTTAATTGCAGGTGCATACCGTATGGTATATGTATATATTGTAAATAATGTAAATATGAAAGCCTAAAAAATTAAGAATATCATATATTTATACACAAAAGAAGGTAAGATTTGTTTTAGATATAATTATTTTAGTTTAGAAAATATGATCATTACTATTACTTATAGATTTTTTTTTATTTCAGGTGTATATATTTACCTCCATGTAAATATTTTAACTTCTGTAAATATCCATGTCTAAAATATTTGAAACATTTTATATTAATATACTAAAGAAGGTAAGATTTGTTTTCGATATAATTATTTTAGTTTATAAAATATAATCATTACTATTACTTATAGATTTTTTTTTATTTCAGGTGTATATATTTACCTCCATGTAAATATTTTAACTTCTGTAAATATCCATGTCTAAAATATTTGAAACATTTTATATTAATATACTAAAGAAGGTAAGATTTGTTTTCGATATAATTATTTTAGTTTAGAAAATATAGAAAATATTATCATTACTTATAGATTTTTTTTTATTTCAGATGTATACCGTACAGTATATGTATGTAGTGTAAATAATGTAAAAATGGATTCCTAAAAACTTAAAAATATTAGACATTAATAAACAAAAGAAGGTAAGATTTGTTTTAGATATAATTATTTTAGTTTAGAAAATATAGAAAATATTATCATTACTTATAGATTTTTTTTTATTTCAGATGCATACCGTACAGTATATGTATGTAGTGTAAATAATGTAAATATGGTTTCCAAAAATATTAAAAATATTAGACATTAATAAACAAAAGAAAGTAAGATTTGTTTTAGATAAAATTATTTTAGTTTAGAAAATATTATCATTACTATTACTTACAGATTTTTTTTTATTTCAGATGTATATATTTACCTCCATGTAAATATTTTAACTTCTGTAAATATCCATGACTAAAATATTTGAAACATTTTATATTAATATACTAAAGAAGGTAAGATTTGTTTTCGATATAATTATTTTAGTTTAGAAAATATAGAAAATATTATCATTACTTATAGATTTTTTTTTATTTCAGATGCATACCGTACAGTATATGTATGTAGTGTAAATAATGTAAATATGGTTTCCAAAAATATTAAAAATATTAGACATTAATAAACAAAAGAAAGTAAGATTTGTTTTAGATAAAATTATTTTAGTTTAGAAAATATTATCATTACTATTACTTACAGATTTTTTTTTATTTCAGATGTATATATTTACCTCCATGTAAATATTTTAACTTCTGTAAATATCCATGACTAAAATATTTGAAACATTTTATATTAATATACTAAAGAAGGTAAGATTTGTTTTCGATATAATTATTTTAGTTTAGAAAATATTATCATTACTTATAGATTTTTTTTTATTTCAGATGCATACCGTACAGTATATGTATGTAGTGTAAATAATGTAAATATGGTTTCCAAAAATATTAAAAATATTAGACATTAATAAACAAAAGAAAGTAAGATTTGTTTTAGATAAAATTATTTTAGTTTAGAAAATATTATCATTACTATTACTTACAGATTTTTTTTTATTTCAGATGTATATATTTACCTCCATGTAAATATTTTAACTTCTGTAAATATCCATGACTAAAATATTTGAAACATTTTATATTAATATACTAAAGAAGGTAAGATTTGTTTTCGATATAATTATTTTAGTTTAGAAAATATAGAAAATATTATCATTACTTATAGATTTTTTTTTATTTCAGATGCATACCGTACAGTATATGTATGTAGTGTAAATAATGTAAATATGGTTTCCTAAAATATTAAAAATATTAGACATTAATACACAAAAGAAGGTAAGATTTGTTTTCGATATAATTATTTTAGTTTAGAAAATATTATCATTACTTATAGATTTTTTTTTATTTCAGATGCATACCGTACAGTATATGTATGTAGTGTAAATAATGTAAATATGGTTTCCAAAAATATTAAAAATATTAGACATTAATAAACAAAAGAAAGTAAGATTTGTTTTAGATAAAATTATTTTAGTTTAGAAAATATTATCATTACTATTACTTACAGATTTTTTTTTATTTCAGATGTATATATTTACCTCCATGTAAATATTTTAACTTCTGTAAATATCCATGACTAAAATATTTGAAACATTTTATATTAATATACTAAAGAAGGTAAGATTTGTTTTCGATATAATTATTTTAGTTTAGAAAATATAGAAAATATTATCATTACTTATAGATTTTTTTTTATTTCAGATGCATACCGTACAGTATATGTATGTAGTGTAAATAATGTAAATATGGTTTCCAAAAATATTAAAAATATTAGACATTAATAAACAAAAGAAAGTAAGATTTGTTTTAGATAAAATTATTTTAGTTTAGAAAATATTATCATTACTATTACTTACAGATTTTTTTTTATTTCAGATGTATATATTTACCTCCATGTAAATATTTTAACTTCTGTAAATATCCATGACTAAAATATTTGAAACATTTTATATTAATATACTAAAGAAGGTAAGATTTGTTTTCGATATAATTATTTTAGTTTAGAAAATATTATCATTACTTATAGATTTTTTTTTATTTCAGATGCATACCGTACAGTATATGTATGTAGTGTAAATAATGTAAATATGGTTTCCAAAAATATTAAAAATATTAGACATTAATAAACAAAAGAAAGTAAGATTTGTTTTAGATAAAATTATTTTAGTTTAGAAAATATTATCATTACTATTACTTACAGATTTTTTTTTATTTCAGATGTATATATTTACCTCCATGTAAATATTTTAACTTCTGTAAATATCCATGACTAAAATATTTGAAACATTTTATATTAATATACTAAAGAAGGTAAGATTTGTTTTCGATATAATTATTTTAGTTTAGAAAATATAGAAAATATTATCATTACTTATAGATTTTTTTTTATTTCAGATGCATACCGTACAGTATATGTATGTAGTGTAAATAATGTAAATATGGTTTCCAAAAATATTAAAAATATTAGACATTAATAAACAAAAGAAAGTAAGATTTGTTTTAGATAAAATTATTTTAGTTTAGAAAATATTATCATTACTATTACTTACAGATTTTTTTTTATTTCAGATGTATATATTTACCTCCATGTAAATATTTTAACTTCTGTAAATATCCATGACTAAAATATTTGAAACATTTTATATTAATATACTAAAGAAGGTAAGATTTGTTTTCGATATAATTATTTTAGTTTAGAAAATATAGAAAATATTATCATTACTTATAGATTTTTTTTTATTTCAGATGCATACCGTACAGTATATGTATGTAGTGTAAATAATGTAAATATGGTTTCCTAAAATATTAAAAATATTAGACATTAATAAACAAAAGAAAGTAAGATTTGTTTTAGATAAAATTATTTTAGTTTAGAAAATATTATCATTACTATTACTTACAGATTTTTTTTTATTTCAGATGTATATATTTACCTCCATGTAAATATTTTAACTTCTGTAAATATCCATGACTAAAATATTTGAAACATTTTATATTAATATACTAAAGAAGGTAAGATTTGTTTTCGATATAATTATTTTAGTTTAGAAAATATAGAAAATATTATCATTACTTATAGATTTTTTTTAATTTCAGATGCATACCGTACAGTATATGTATGTAGTGTAAATAATGTAAATATGGTTTCCTAAAATATTAAAAATATTAGACATTAATACACAAAAGAAGGTAAGATTTGTTTTCGATATAATTATTTTAGTTTAGAAAATATTATCATTACTTATAGATTTTTTTTTATTTCAGATGCATACCGTACAGTATATGTATGTAGTGTAAATAATGTAAATATGGTTTCCTAAAATATTAAAAATATTAGACATTAATACACAAAAGAAGGTAAGATTTGTTTTAGATATAATTATTTTAGTTTAGAAAATATTATCATTACTTATAGATTTATTTTTATTTCAGATGCATACCGTACAGTATATGTATGTAGTGTAAATAATGTAAATATGGTTTCCTAAAATATTAAAAATATTAGACATTAATACACAAAAGAAGGTAAGATTTGTTTTAGATATAATTATTTTAGTTTAGAAAATATTATCATTACTTATAGATTTTTTTTTATTTCAGATGCATACCGTACAGTATATGTATGTAGTGTAAATAATGTAAATATGGTTTCCTAAAATATTAAAAATATTAGACATTAATACACAAAAGAAGGTAAGATTGTTTTAGATATAATTATTTTAGTTTAGAAAATATTATCATTACTATTTCTTATAGATTTTTTTTTATTTCAGGTGTATATATTTACCTCCATGTAAATATTTTAACTTCTGTAAATATCCATGACTAAAATATTTGAAACATTTTATATTAATATACAAAAGAGGGTAAGATTTATTTTAGATATAATTATTTTAGTTTAGAAAATATTATCATTACTTATAGATTTTTTTTAATTTCAGGTGCATACTGTACGGTATATGTATATATTTTAAATAATTTATATGTATTATATATATTTTAATATATTTTTTAATTTTCTTGAAATTCCTATTTTTTATTATTTGCATTTAAGTGCATTTTTTATGGTTTAACCAATAGATCATTATTCATGTTTTTTTGAAATATTTATTATTTGTTCCTAGAATCTCTTAGGTCGTACTTAGAGCTGTCATGAACTTCTGCCAGGCATCATGATCTTTATTATTATTCTTTTTTTGAAAGGATTTGTGTCACATCATATAGTGTCTTTAGGCCACCCTTACCAGCTTTTTCTTCAGCTTTCCTAGCTATACCATTAATGAATTTCCTCTTGTCTCTCTTCAAAAATCTCTTAACTCATTTATTTGCCTCTTTGTATTCTCGCCTTTTTTCTTCTTTTTGGCCTCTGGTTCTGCTTTGTTCAAGGCTTCGTTTTTCCATCTCTGATCCAAAATAGCATCCCTGGTTTTGCTCGAGATCCAATCAAATATTTAATTGATTGTAGCTATTTAATCAAAGCTTTTAAATACTTAATTGTTGTTTATTTCATCT